GGGGGGGGGGGGGAAGAAGAGAGGGTTTCTTGCAGTGCCCCCAAATTTAACTTATAAAACATGGGTGCAAAAGAGCAATGACAACAGAAACCTACTAAGAGTAGATGAAGATAGATTATATCCAGAAACAACAAAAAATCTGATCTGACTCCTAGTTAAAGGCATTTTCACAGGAAGACTTCAAATTTGGTTCTGAAGATATCATGCAACGTATCAGGGCTGGGGTGGTGCTGAAGGTATTCGGCAACCAAAATTCCTGTGGCTTGCCAAAAGTGACAGCCCTGGATCATTCCTAAAGCAAAGAGCACACACAACCCGACCCCACAGAGGATGCCTCGGGAGCCACTGTAACCTCCTCCCTTCAGCCGCTCCTGAGCTTCTCCTCTCGGCTTTTTGCATATTAACGCATGTGCCTCGTGGTGCCACGAAAAAACTTCAGCGGCATTCTTCCTCGGTCACCTACACAATGCGGGAAACGCAAAAAGTTGTGGATTTGTGATGGGAGTGAAAGGAAAAGGGAACAAAAAAAAGTTTGTGGGGTGTTGATTTGGGAGGAACTCCTTCAAAAGTGAGCTACAGAAAGAGAGCTCAAGTAACTTCATATCGAGCTCTTTGAGTATAGGTCAGCTGAATATGAAAATGCCCTGCCTGAAAATTACATGTTTAAATTATACAAAGCACCGTGAAAATTTTTATAAGTTTTCCACTAATAAAAGCCAAATGCATTAATTATTTTTTTTCCTACACGTCACCAGAAAAGAAAATGCTTAGAAGTTTTAAACTCCAGACTGAGGAACATTTTCTTCCCCGTGAGGTTTGAAATTTCACACCACAAGAACAAACAAGCTGAAGTCCTGTGTTAGCTGCGCAAGGCTTGACTTGCAACCAGCAATACCTTCACAAACTATGAAGGATTAACCCCAGAAGTAACGGCGGCCAGTTCATGCTCCATCTGTTACTAGTGGGAAAAACAAGGGCAATCCCAGGCCAAGTGGCCTGCCAGCCTGGCACTATGTACCTGTGTGTTATCCAGGGGAACCTCCCTCAACGCTGATCGGGTGTGTAAAGTGCTGGCTATTTTCTGCAGAATAGATTAGGATCCTCAAAAGCCTACCAGGAGCAGTTGACAGTGCAAATCAAAAAGTATTCACAATATATCAACAGTACGTTTCATTTTTTGACTGTCTATACCTACCTGGCGGGCACATACAGACACACTATGTGCAATTCCAGAATATAAAGGTTCCATATACCTGGGGTTTGCCTAAATTCATCTCACTGAGGAAGGGCGAGGGGAATCCAGATCTGCATGGTGCTGATTTGTGAAGCACATTCTTTCAGGGCATTCAGCATAAAGGAGTTCTATTCCTGCTTGTAGCTTCCAATCTCTATGTCAATAAAACCAGGTCTGTGACACTTGGTAATGTAATTTAGTTTGAGAAACATGCCAAATTCATCAAGACTTCTCCCCCCCGCCAACGCTCTATGGAATATTTAAAGATTGTCCTTTATTTTCAACTTTTGGATGTAATTCTACATTCACAGAAGTTGTCCCTCTCTGTGACCTCGCATCCAGATGAAAATATATTCCTTAGATCAGAGCACAACAAATGCTAACCAAAACCACCCGTCCTTCTCCCACAGAATTTGCTGAAGTAATAAACCCAGTTTCACAAAACATGAAGAATTTTAATTTCTGTAACTGCATTAAAGCAGAACACATAACAATGTCTTTTCAAGGTAGAATTACCAAAACCAAATTCACCTCACATGGAGAACAGCAGCTGATAAAGCATAAGTTGAACTAAACAAAACAAGAAGCTGTAACTACTAACTAAGAACATACATACAACACAGTTGATTATTTTAAAAGGAATCAAATCACATACATAAAAATACTAGAAAATTACACTGGCCGTGATTTATTACAGAATTCTAACATTTCGGAGACTTTCATAATGTAACACAAACCTTACAATCTCTTGACCGTTGTACCTTTTGCCTAATAGAAACCACGCATCAAGTGTGCACAGTTTGCCCGAGGCTACTTTACACGAGTGAACTCAGCCACAAGGCATCCCGGTGTTCCACAGAAAACGACTAACAAAAAACCCCAAACCAACAAACAAAAAAAAGCAGATGAAATTCACAAGTTAAGGTATACCAACGTCCTGCAATATCAAAGTGCATCCCCAAAGAGATCTGTGAATTTTAAGAATGTTACACAAGAGGTAGAAGTAAGATTTTTGCAGCGTTCATTCCAACATCCACAGTTGTTTCACAGAAATACTTAGTGTATAATCAACTGACCTTTTTTTTTTTTTTTTTAAGCGAAATTATACTTCCACATATTTCTCATGGGCATTATGAATGGATTAACTCACAAAATTCTCCTTCAGTAATATTTCACTAGCAGTGTAAAATTTGCTACTTTAAGTAAATGAGTTAGACCAACAAACATGTAAAAGATATACTTCAGACACCAAGTAGTATATTAAAATAGACACTATTAATCTTTGTATATCTGTCATAAAAAATAAAAGGAAACTTATTTTTCCCATATATATTGGTAATAGCCTAATTTATGAAAAAACTATGCAGATTATTACTGTGCATAAACAAGTTTTAAATTGGTTGTATTTTATACAGTAAAAAATTGTAAAGCAATCTTTGTCTGGAAATTATTTCGAGTCTGATTTATTCTTTCTCTCTAACATGTTTTTACATATTGTATGCAAATATTTTCCTTTTTAAAGCTCATTTGGCAATCAAGCAAAGAGTATTTATAGCTTCAGCTCTCAATTTCTTTAAAAAGTTGCTCCTAACCCAACACATTTTCAATCTCTAACAGCAGAGACTACATAAATCAAATGCATTTTACTTTTCTGCAACTTTGATTACAGTATTGCTAATGAAGAAAAATAAGTACCTTCCATTCTATACAACTGATAAATTGATTGGCAAAGTTATTTTTTTAAACAAGTTAGCAGAATGTATCAAAAAATAAGAGACGCTTGATTTTTATATAATGTTCTACAAACAAAAAAGTGCTGGTGACCAAGATGGATAAACTGCACAGGAAATAAAGGTTTTAGTATGATTAAGGCTATATTTCCCTTTGAAGCAGATCAGGATAAGACAAGATGCAAAGTTCTTAGAAATCCACAACTTCAATTCTGCCAAAGTCTCTGCAGCAGGTACATTCCTCAAAAAAAAACCCAAAACAAACCCAAAAACAAACAAAAAACCCACACCCACGCAAAATTATCCTGCTAATTCCAAGTTGTATAAAAAAGGTTGGGAACACATCCTTCTGGAGTTCCTTGATAACAAATGTTCAAGGTGAACTACTAAGCTTCTATTTACAAAGAGCCCACCCAACTCAAGATATCATGCCAGTAAAGCTACAAAGCCAGATAAAGACAAAGATTTGTTAAAGCCACTGGCTTCAATGGAAGCAGGACCACAACCATCTCTTCAGTAGCCTAATTGCACATGCTCCTATTTAATACCAATAAGAAGATATATTTGAAAGTCAATTGCTCTCATACTTGCTGATGTGCAGTATTCCCTCTTGCTCAATACAGTGCACAATTGTGAAGAGTAAATAATCAGAAACTCAAGTTTTTCCACTTTAATTACTCTTGGGGGGAAGGATGACTGTGGCCATAGAGTTGTAAAACTAAATTTTAAATTAAGATTATGTACACTGTCAAAGCAATAAAGATACAGAGAACAAAAAACCCAAACCCCTACTGCTTTGGGTTGCTCCAACATGCAGGATTTTGACATCACAGCTCTCAGAGAACTGTTAGCAGGGGGGTGGAGGAGAATCAGCTTTCAGAGCAGGTAAAAATGTAACTTTAAAAAAAAGAGAAAAAAAGGGGGCTTCAAGTCTGTTTGTTGCACAATCTTTACAGCATTTAAATAAAAAAATATTAAACTTTCTACAGAATTGGAGCTATGACCTAATATAAATTGTGTATTTGAGAATATCATACTGAGCAAAGCTGAATGCTGTCACTTGAGGAGGGACTGATTTAAAAAAAAAAACCCAAACAGTTCAGTGGAAGTTTTATGCTAAGCATTCCTTGCCATGTGTCATTTTGTAAGTCTAGAAAAGTGGAGTTTAAATCCTACTTCATTCTCTTTCCTTACAGACAGCAGTTGAGAGGTGATGATGTCGATGCAGGAGGGAGGGAGGACCATACCCCGCTGGTTTGAAAAACAAACCCTGTTCTAGCTCCTCAAGCTGGTACACTGCTTGATTCCATAGGATTAAAACATACAAGGGTGGAAGGATGGCTACAAGAGCAGGACAAGAACAAGCCAACATTGCCACAAGTCCCAGCAGTTGAATGAACCCTGACAGCATCTGTGAGCAGCAGTTGGGGAAAGGAAAACACCGTTTAAGCCCCTCAGGCTCCGGCCCTTCTGACCACAGGAGCCCCGAAGACGGGTGATCCTGGCCATGGGAAGTAGCTCCCCCTTCCTTCTTTAATTCCCCAAACAGAACAGAAGGCCTGGGTAGCAGATCAAACATAATCCCAGGAACATGTACTCGTGGTCACTTCTGGAAAAGCACACAGGAAAGCTAAGAAGCTTTCCACAAAATTTTGGACTATTCCACACTTCTCTGGAAAGGCAAGTACCTCCACAAAGCCTCCCACTTCCATAACCTCCATCTTCTACTATTCATCTACTTCACCAAAGAGAAAACGTACCAGAAATAACAATACGAGACTTATTATGAAGACCAGAGCATCAGTTTCCAAGCTGTAAGGCAAGTAATTTCTAAGATATACATATCCAGGTGCAGACAAAAAGAATAGTAGTGGTGGTAAATACCAAGAGCAAAGAATACTCAGTCTGGAAAGGAAGAGAAAAAAAAAAAAGAAGAAAAAAAAAAAAATCACACAAACCACAAAACCAGTAGCAGGAGTTTGGGAACTAATAGTTTTACACTCACCCCTGAAAAGGCCACAGCAAGACAAGCATCACAAACCTAGTCAACCTCCCTGTATGCTGTTCTAATAAAAATAATGACAAACTAATACCAATTTCCTAGTTTTAGTTTCTATATATACCATCAGACTAACTTAACTGCCAGAGCAACCCTGTGGGCACAGAAGAAAAGCAGAGATACCAAACCAATAACCAGAAAAAATGTTCTTACTCTGATGCTGGCCTCTCTCCTGGGAATCAAGAAAGCTGAATCACCAGAAGCTTCCATTTATTTATACAGAATACAGAAATAACTGTAATTCTTAAACCTATATTGTACTGGAACATCAATAATAGGTTTTAAATATTAAAGGTTCACTACCGAATGTCATAGCATACACCCTGATAACAACCTTGACTTGAGAAGGGACTCTTAAGTAACCTGTTTTCTTAAACTGGAACAACCTTGTATCATTGCTACCGGGACTAGGTACAACTCTGCTATCTTCTTCACCCCATTCAAAAGTTTAAACTGCAGAAATCAAAACAGAAATAAAAAGAGAACAATTACATCTAAACAAAGGGGGAGGGGGGTGTCAGGGAGGAGAAAGAAGAGAATAAGTTAAAATTTACCTGATTGCTGCACAAATCGGGGGTGAAAAATAATTCAAAAATAAAACCCAACTCCAACACCAAAAACACCTCTCTGGTTTAAATGTGACCTAATACCCTCAACTCAGCTTCCTCTGAGGTCAGTAAAATACCAATACAATTACTCCCTAAAACCAGAAGCATTATACTTACATTCATATAAAAAGTTCAGTGCAGTTATTAATTTAGCGACAATGTACAAATTCTTTAAACACTAGGCAGCTAAAGAAATTTTACGACTGTAACAGAGCTGCTGCAACTCCAGGTGGTTATTTTACTAAATAGAAATTTTTTCCCCCTGAAATATCCAAGGATGTGTCATAAAGCAACAGAACTGAAGCACTCTGAAAGGACTTCTGTCTTTATAGGTCTAATGCTGTAAATAATCAAATCGTTTAAGGAAATGGTCATAAAATATTTTTGATATTAATATCCCAATTTTTTTATGAAGAAAACAGAGCGAGGAAAAATGAAATATGAGTGCATGCTGGTCACATTTGTAGGGCATGACAAGGAAAATCTGATACTACCACATTTGACCCGTGGCGACTCTCCACAGCTACAGTGCTTTAGGCTTGTTAAAGAGCTCATTACTGTCTAACAATATGTAAGAACAACACAGCAAACGCTAATTGGTAACTATAGTCAAATGCAGCCACATGTAACCCTTTATAAATGCATTTTTTAAACCGCAGTGGAAAACAGAAGAGAGCACACAGAGATTTACTATTTTTGAAAAAGGAGACTGTTAAAGGCACGTTAACTATATTATGAACCGATTAAGATCACATTCCTTCACAAGAATAATTAAGACGAGCACTACAATAAGAACCTACTACGCCCTAGAACTTCACCACCACGAAACAATCCTGCAGGACTACAATTGTTCTGTAAACAGAAAAGCTGATCAAGACTTCCAACTTCTGATTTCCTGTCAACACAGTAATCATAATGAAAGACCAAAATTATTCATTAACTGAAATACTGTAGACTCCACTTTTTAAACAGTGGAGTATAGTTAATTAGTTTCACAAATGCAAATTTAACCTTCTTAAATTAGTTTGTGCAAATGAACTGCACATGCACACAGAGGAAACACACTCACACTAAAATAACTCTCTCCACTACCTGCTTTTTAGGCTAAGGCTGAAAATATTCTAAATTGATTTCACTTTTTTTAGGGATAAAAGAATCATAATCTTGCTAGACTAAGGTTCTGATTTCTATCGACTCTTGTTTTTAAACTTTAATCAGTGGATTACAGTGAGGCTTGTGTAATTTTTTTCTAAAAAGTTATGCCTCATTACAGTTAAACGATAGTACTACAGAGACTAATCTGCTCTAGAAACATCCACAGATCCAAAACTACAGAAATGCATTCAGAACATTTTGCAAGTGTATATATATGTATATAGATATATGGAAACAATTATATATTTATCCACAAAATGTTAAATTCAACATTGAACACTATGGAACATAAACTTCATTTTTGTCTTTCAAACTTTGCTTATATCCCCAATTTAATTGACTTTTAAAGTAAGAACTGCTCTCCAAAGCCATTTATTAATATACTGATACCCAAGAACCTTAGCTGGTTATTAGTATATGTTAAGAGACTGTGTAACAGTAAGACAGTTGTTAAAGCATTAAAATATTTATAAGTGCCTTAATAACAAAACTTGATTACTCATTCTTTTCTAATTCTCACCCTGAACATTCACACTGATACAAAACACTTCTGATTGTCTAAGCCACAAAATGGAGACTAGTTAACAGCAATTAAAATATATTAAATCTTCCATGCGAGAAATTAATCGGTTAAACAGCTTTGGTAACCTAGTATATAGTTAGCTTTGTGTAAATATTTTGCAAACATCCCTTCCCCCCAAAAAATCCCTATATACCATGTGTATATTTATATAATAATATACATATTTCCTGAGTAAATTGTTAAATCTGATTATGTGAAAGATTTGGCAAAATATCCAACTTTATATTACTAAAATAAAATTTAAAATAAACATTCAATAAACACATTAAAATAAATATGGAATGTTTCTGAAAATTATAGTACCATGAACTTACATTAATAACAATATTTTTTTAATTATGTGCATACTATGTTATATAGTTACTGGTTTTTAACCCACTGAGGAATCAATAAATCTAATTTCTAATCCTGAGTGACAATTTTATATCACCTGCTAACGTGTACTTCGGTGCAGTACTGGCTGCAAATCTACAAAATCTTTTTTTTTTTTTTTTTTTTTTTTAAATGGAAAATTTAAAATGAACTATGCAATAGAAAATCTCACTTTACACTGGTTTAACTAGAAACTGAACTGGCAGCAGAACTGCTGAAGCATCTCACACAACCAACATTAAACACTGATTATTCTTGTCAAACTGTGATAACCTGAATGACCTGACACCACTCCCCCACCCCCCAGCCCTGTGACAAAACCAATACAGGAATATGGATTGCTGTGTAAAGAGTGATGGGATGCAAACAACTTAGTGATCACTTTGGCACTTGAAATCAACTATATCATGGTGCAAAAAAAAAAACCCTGAACAATTATGAAATACTTTTTAAATTGATTTTTTTTCTTTACGTATGCTAAAAGTGTATCATTAACAAAAAAAAGGAGAATTAAGTTCTACCACACTCTGTTTTTTCAGGTCATGGCTTGATTTACAGCTGATACATAGCTTTGGATAAGCACACAGGGAAGTTCTCAGCTATTGTTTAGTTCCTCTTAATACTAAAATTCTCATGTAGCAGACATTGCAATACCAGCAATATTAAAACTGCATTTACACTATTACAGGATGTGAGTCTCAACGCCAGAATCACAGTAATAGAATTGCAGCACTGATCAGTTATGTTAACCCTTTTACTTTTTGATAACCATCAAAACCACCTTCCACGGTACTATGCAGGCCATGTTGCCCTTCCCTCCTCAGCCTTCTGTCTCCCTTTTGTTATTATTTGCTATTATTCCAAAATCCTCATGGGTTCCGCAGGTTTTTCTTTTTTACTTCCTTTGTCTTCATACTCCATGCTGCTTTTTTTCTTGTGTGCTTGTGTTTGGTGGACAGAGTTCTTGCAATGCCCTTTCAACAACTTCTTGCTTTACTGGACTGCTTGAAGAGTATTTTGGCAAAGTCATCTGCAAGGCACACCATAAAGCAGTACGAGCCTTGCGTGTGGAAGCAGCCAACTCTCTAATGGCAACTGCCAGAGCCAGAACATCTACAACAGAAAAAACAGGTTACAGGGTGAAGTAGTATACAAGCCCGGTAACATTAATACATTGAAAAATTGGGTAAATTTGTTCAACCTGTCACTGGTACACAGTGTGCTTGAGAAATAGCTAATGTTGTACCCTGGTACTGCACTGGTTGAATTCCATCAGTTAGCAATCTTCTCTTGCAAACTGACAGCTATAACATCTCACACTAAGAGCACCCATAACTGTGTCCAAAATTCAGTAGCATAACCATCACACCTGCGATAAAACAATTAAGCCCATTTAATTAATGCTATCAGAGGTGACTATTCTACAATGATACTCAATAAGTATGATTAGCAAAACTACCTACTCAATTCCAGCCAGATGAGCTTAATACAATCCTTTTTTCCTCCTTTGTCTTCCTTTCAGCAACACTGATACCCACCCAGAACTCAAAGAAACACATATCTCAGTGAAAAACAGACTAAAGGCTTTTCTCTACGTGATTTAGACTGTGCTTAGACACCTAACAGCACCATAGCCCTTCAAAAGCATAACAACACTGCAGATGTTATCACTAACTATAAAAGACTAACTGCAATTTTTCTAACTACTAGTACAATACACAATGGTTTAAATAATGTTTCCATATACCTTTACTACAAAATATTATCAAAAAACAGTTTGTGGGATTTTTATTTTTTTTGTGGGGGTGAAATGATGACTATCTGCTTCCTGGCTTATGCTTGGGGCCAGTGTCACATTACACAATTGTAGCAGTAATTTTAGAAGCAGGTTTGCACATAGGACTATTACTTTTAAGGATATGACATCATACTTGACACTTAACTTGTGAAACCAAAACATTTTGATTCTTTACAGCTCATCTTTCCCTTCTTACAAGGAAGAACCATCCCATACACATTGCTGGAAGCCAAAGGAACCATACACTGACAGCTTCACCACAGGAAATAAGACAGTATAGGAGAGTGCTTGAGTAAAGATCCAAAAGAGTATGGGGATGAGGCAGGGAAAGTGCATTCTACTCTGGAAATCGTTTTCTGAAGAAAAATAGTATTATCTTTACCTCTAAACCCCAAATTCCTAAATGCATCAACTGCATGACCATTATACTGAATAGCAGGTTATCAGTGCATTGTGCTACTAGAAGGGAATGCAATTTGTCTTAGTTTTGCATTACTTCTGCAGAAGTACTTACTACTGCTACAAATTATTCCTTCTTTACTTCAACAGAAGTTGGGAATCGTGAAACAATTTTGTGGGTTTGTGATTTAGATAAGGTAGGTAGATACAATCAATTAACATAGCACCAACACTTTTTTTTTAACTTTATAAGCTGAAAAGAGAAGACAGACTAGCAATATGACTGAAAAAAGAAATTCAACTTGTTTAAGAACAGGTACATTTTTACTTTTAGGACAAACTACTTATGGTTATATAATATCACTGAACAGTTTTTATTGTTCTTAGTCAAGAGAAAAACATTTCAAAGTTTAAACTAACAAGAGAAAAAATGAAAAGTAATTTAAAGTCTTTAAAAAGTGACAGATTTAGATGCATTTTCAAACTTGCGTATTTCAAATGGCGCAGTTTCACAGTTAAGTCTTTGAAAAAGCTTTTAAAACTACAGGAATGGCAAGCAGTTACCTTTCACATTATTATAACGTGGTGCTCCTTGTCTCTGCGGATTAGCAGCATTAATAATCTCATCCTTACGCCTCGCCTGCGTTACCTGAATGACTTCCATATGGCGTTCCAATGTAGTGGATATGTTATTGTGTACAGGGGTACCACGAAGCCTTTCCATTTTTCCTACTAATGTGAGCACCTGCCAGACATGTTGAAAATACGAAAAAGGGCAAAGTATTTGTAAATCTCCATTGAACAAACATAACATCAAAAAGAAACTCAGGAATTATGGGTCAGGAAGGCTTACCCTGGCTTGTTCTCGTAACTGGTCGACAATCAAACGATCAACTCGAGATGGGTTGGTAGGAAGTCGGGACACAGGAATGTTATTTGAGCTAGTTATGCGCTTTCCTGGAAAGTTTCTTGCAAGGTCAGCCTCAGTCTGGAGGGGAAATAAATTGCCGTTGTAAATGTTTGAAATTAGTACAATACTACAATCCATATTTTTAAGGCTGGTTAGAATTTTCAAATACATTAGAGCTCTGTTTCCTATTTTTACTTCCGACTGCATTTACAGAAAAACGTTCCCAAATATTTGTCAAGATGTACAACCAGCTGCTATAAGAATACTTCTCTAACTCAGCTCTACCTCAGCATACAACGCTCAGCAGCAACACTTAAAAACAAAGCTGTAAAACTTTATTTTAGCTAATCTCAGACACAGACCTAGGCAAAGAAATTCTTGTACTCCAAGAATTTAAACTGTATGCCTCTCACTGCATCTCTCAAATGTCGCATATTAGGAATATTAACAAGAAAAACAGGTGAACACACCAGCATAAACTGTATCTGAAGTGCATCAGGATTAAGCCAGATTTAACACAAACTGGTATTAGCTCTGAAAGAGTCATCACTACAGCTGCCAAACTCCCCATTCAGAAAGGAACTGGCTAAACCACTATACAATGCAGGCAGTGACTAAACATCACCAAGCCTATTTTTGCATAGGAATTTCTTATTCTTGACGTAAAAAAGACACAATTAGCAGCTGATTTTCAATCTCCTTCCAACTTCCACATACAATGGATTTAGGGGAGAAAGATTAGGTACCACATTGCAGTTCAAGGCAAGGTTAAGTCCACAATCATACTACAAACATTCATGCTGAAAATACATGCTGAAGCCCTTTTCTCTTTGCTTTACTGACACATCGATATTATTTAGTCTCTGACCTCATCTAACATGAGCTACAAGAGCTGACGGACTCCACTTGCATTCACCTCGGAAGCCTGAAGGATATTCAGAAGAAAAATGGATGGAGAATGGGTTATAAATTCATAAAATGGCATCAGGCATTTAAGAATCACAACTGATAAGCAATTCACAGCACTGATCTATATGCACATTTAGTATTGCAGGCAACTCCTAACAGACACTTTGTAGAAATTTCTTAAATGTGAGATCGCTGGAAAGTGAGATTTATAAAAGGAAACTGGTAAGTTCACTGTCACCAGGAACTCCAAAGCAGCTGCAATGAACAAGTTCATGGGAGTTAAAAGGGCTGACTGATTAGACAAGCTAGACAGAATTAAACGCAAGTCCTGCTGGGGGGTATTTCTGTCTACACTCTTAAGAAATTAATGTAGGGCAAGAATATCAAAAGCGTGACAATCACCATTAAAAAGTCCCTTCCTACATATATACGTGCAGGTGAGCTATAGCATTCTCCTAAACCGTAGCTACAAACGGGGATTAACACAGTGCAGGCATATTCCCGTCAAGGCAGTCAGGATGCAGCCATCCCCTTTTGATTTAATTGCAGGAATGAGTGCCACGCTATGGCAGCTGGCTTGTGGGACTGAGAACAGTTTATATCCATAAATAAAGCTACCTGCAGGTGTATCCTATAACTGCAAAGATCAAGGACTGAGAAAGCCCAAGATCATCACTAGGATAAGATTGGTCACTTAAAATAGACCAGATGAAGTTAGTCTGTTAAATCCCTTTGATTATTAAGAATACAATATGAAGATAAACAATCCTCCTCTAGCGATGAAAACACAAAAAACATGAGATTAAAAACTATGGTTCAGTCTTCCCAGATGACTTAATTGACCCCAATCCTGCATAAGCAGGTTTAGAACAGCCTTCTGTTCCACAACAGAAAGCAGAAGAGTTTCTGAAGACACTGCTGTCTCAGCCACACTGGAGCAAAAATCATCAACACTCTTTCTCACTTGTGTAGAGAATTTCTAGGAGACTGGACAGGCAGAAAGAATCTTGTTGAAAGGCATCAGTGAGCAAATAATGTAGGCAGTTCTATTTGCACTTCCAAGGTCTCACAGTTGATGCTGGAAAGAAAAAGATGCTCTCCAGAGATCCACTCAGGTCAGATACCCCACTCTTTTCTCCAGTGACCAGGAGTCTTCTCCAACACAGAAGAAGTAGACAGGCACTCAGTGCATAATTAGGACCAGGGATTACTGACAACCTAGTTTCCAAGACCTGGTAAGGAGTTCAGAGATTTGACTCCTCTTGGGAAAGCATTTCCTGCTCCTTCTAAGTGCAGAGCTCCCACTCCCAAGTGCAATAGACTTATCAGTAGCATGATCCCCCCCTGACAACAGTTCCTATCAAGAGAGTTTGAGGCAGGAAAGTGACTGTAACAAGAAGTGTATAAATTGAAACTTCCTTTGGGAAAAGTCACATGCATTCGAAACACTGTAGGTTTCCTCTACAGCCATGTACAGGATGCTCAGGATGACTACTTAAGGGAAATAGACCACTATATCACTGACAGTAAACCAAAAACAAAACAAAAAGACCCAAAACCCACAGAAGTTTATCTCCTTAAATGACTGTGTAGGGAAAAGGAGAGTCTGGGTTTATAATACTTGAGTTAGATTTAGCTGAAGAGAAGCAGTATGGGACAAGAAAAGGAAAGAGATCCATCTAACCAAACTGTGCAATATGAACATTTTAGACCATTAAGGTGCATAAAACACCAGTACTTAAAGTACCTGTAGTAGTGAGGGCCCTGCCATATCCTCATATATGGCTGGTGGCTCTAGAGTCATAAGAAAGGCCTATCAAATTCATTACAACTAACTAATGATCTTTTATTGACCATATAAGTGAAAACCATCCAAGCTAATGATAAAATTCAGTGCTTTGGACAGTGACACCGTTGTCACATTTGTTGTAACAAATGTTGTAGGTTAACAGAGAAATGTTGTGTTAGCAGCCCTGTCTAAGGGGAGCCTTAGAAACTGAAGCTCAAAGCCACACATGATTTAAAATGAGTCATGCCAAACAATGCACGCATTATATTCAAAGCAGATGTTGTAGACGGTGTTCTAGATATTTAAAACCAACAGTATCACAACAGAAATCACGCCTCCTAAAAACAAGTGATAGCCCCAAGTACCTACTCTCTATAAATGGTTTCATACGATCACCAGCTTTGATAGGAAGTTATTGTCAGTTGTGTTTTACCTTCTTTCTCTCTTTCTCCAAAGCTCTCCACTGCTCGTAACACTCCTCCAGTCGGATATGAAGCTCATTAGCAGGTCCACTGCGGTTTCTTGGAGATCTGTACTTGTTAAGTGGTGTTGGAAAGGCAAAGTATGGTGCAGCTATTTCCCCACAAAACAGATCGCTGATCAAGGGATTCAAGTGGTTAAAGTCATCATAATGAAAAAGATCAACAAGTTCCGAGAATGGAAATGGTGATGGAGGAAAACTGAAGTTATTTGCTGATGAAAACAGATGGTGATTAAACGGAAGAAAGCTGGGATTTTGTTTAAAATCAGACATTAATGGGAAAGAAGGAAGAAAAGAAGGATTGATGAAGTCTGACATGCTACCACCATTCTGTTCATGCTTTTTTTGGAACATATTGAACTGCTGATGGTTTGGGGTTGTATACCCCAAATGAGGAATCCAATTCTTTCTGCCTCTTCTATCATCTTTATTACTATTTTCTTGGGTCTGCTTTTTTTGAAATCTGTAGTATTTTTCATGGTCTTCACTTACGTTCTGCTGTGTTAACCAATCAGCCGAAAAATTAATGGGGAATTTACAGTTTTGCCCCTCTTTATTAGTCAATGAATCATGCTGTGATCGTCCAATAGGCTTCATTTGCTTATGATTTTCTGAGGTGAAATTAGAAACTCCCAAATTATTAGAAACACCATTTGATATTTGTAACCTTCCATCTTTCCTTGAAGGGAGGGCAGGTAAGATCTGTGAGTAGTAAGAGGACTGTGTTATAGACTGATGGGTGGGAGAATCACCAGACGTGGTTGAAGCCCCTGAAGATGACTGTGGACTTATCACCAGTTGCTTTCCATATGTGACATCTGATGTAGCTGTCAGACTTGCCACTTTCCCATCCAGCCACGCCCGTCCATGGTACGATGAATAACTCCCATTTTGCATAACATTTTTTACAGATAAATCATATTCAGATACTTTATGAGAGCATTCTTTAGGACCAATATTGATCCTACATTCATCATTAAAAGCATCCCCCAAGGTAAAACTACGAAGACCATTTTGCACATGGGTTTCCTGTGGCTTTCTGTTTGTCCCTCCTGAAAAATTATTTTCTTTAGGGGCTTGATTGAAAAAATAAAGCGATGGAGGAATAGATGACTGCAATTTATGACCAGCTGTAAAGTTTTCATATCTTTTAGAAAACAAGTGGCTGTCGTGGGACACTTTATCCCAAGAGTCATCAACAGGCTGACTGGAAAGATCAGGGGAATATTTAGTTTGTTCCTGAGCATCATTTTTCAGAACTTTGCCTCTTGCTCTTTCAGTTTTCCGGTACTCTTTCTGAATGCTAGTGCCTTCTTTTATTCTGCTCTGAGAAGAAAAAGTGCTAAAATTGGAATAAATTTTTTCACAGTCTCCATTTAACCTCATGTGGTCATAACCACACAAATGCTGATTATGGTCTACATTTTTAAATGAAAACCCTTCTTGGTGAATTGTATTATTATTTTGCAAAGAGGAATTTTCAGGATAACTGTTCTTCAGAATATCATCAGGCTGAGTGCAAGGGCCAGATGGAGAAAGCCAAGACTCTATGAGATGAAGATCTTCCAAACCTCTGTGTAACATCTCCACATCATGAGAATTTTGCAAGTGTTCCTGATAGTAGTTCTGTGTGCCCATCAGGTTTGAAAAATCCTTACTTCCAGAGTGCTTCGACGAGAGCCCTGAGAATTCAGCATTGCTTCCAAGATCAGGTGCCCACATAGGTGGAAACAATCTTGAAAGAGAATTCCTGTAACAAAGTTAAAGAAGCCTCCTGTAATGACATTTCTTAAAACAGTTCACATACCAGTTGTTCTCCCTGTTACATTATTGGCTAACCATACACAGCCCTCCTCCAAAATATAGGGGGGGAGTGTGGAATATTCCCACTGCAGTTGAGTAAATACTATGTGAAACCTGACTACCAATGCCATTCTCTAATGTTTAAAATATGTATATTCTGAACTGCAGACTTTATTTGATTTAGTAAATGTTTTAGATTTTACTGTATTCAGTCAACTCCTCACTGGTTAAAATCAGATTTACTTTTTTCCTCCCCTAAATGCTGTAGGCTGATGGAAGACTTTAGAAAATTTGCATTTCTAACCATTTGTTGGGTTTTGGGGTTTTTGTGTGTGTTTTGTGTGGGTTTTTTTGTTTGTTTTTTTTGTTTGTTTTTAATGGCAACTGAAGAACAACACTTCTATATTTCAAGGAAATTTAGAGGACCTTCTTTACTGAATTTCATGAAAGAATTCCAGATGTGTATCGTACCTGTGTGACAAAGGATGTAAAAAACCAACACACAACATGTAAGAACTTTCAGAACAAACTTACCAATCTGTAACTGGTTCTGGCTTGTCTGGCTCCTCTAAAATGCTTGACACCAGACCAAACATATCAGGGCCACTGCTAGAATAAGAAAGATTTATTGGTGCCCTGAAAAACAAAAAAACCCTAAATAAATAAAAATCTTTCTCCTAAACAAAACAGGCAAAAAGAAAACTAAAGCACTCAACCTCTTATTTTAGCAGCATCTGCTAAGGGTTCTGAATCTAACTGTATTCTCAATATCCATATACAGAAACATCTTCCTTCATTTGTGAATTCTATAGCCTAAATGAAGCAGAACAATTTTCTTAACCTCTTGCTGCACCAAGCTGTTATGTGAAAAGACAGGAGCAGCAAAAGATTTTCCTTTCTTTTCAATCAACATAATATTTTATAGAGATTTCTTCAAACCTTGACGGTCGTCTTTAGCGGAGAAATACGATCAATCTTCTCAAAATCTTCAGGATTCTAAATTTTTCTACTTCCATAATTCAAGAACTACTATTTCAATCTCAAAAGAATAAAGATATACCTAAATTGAACCACATTTTAATCCCCTTTTATAAAGGATTTGGTCAAAACTTTATTAAATATTCCTGATAAATACTAAAGGTGTTCAACCTTCACTACTCTTACACAAGCCCAAATTTATCTTTTACTTCAGGTGCAAAATGAGATCTTTACAGAGCTGTCTAATTACACCTAACTTCTACTCAGAAGTTAATTAAAAACAGAACATTGTTAAGATCTCTTTCCCTCTAACATGCATTGTTTTGCTTCAATAAATTTCAATCATCATCCTATTCTCATTCAACTGATACACTTTAGTGTCCCTGAAGACCTCTCAGTTTTCCCTAGTCTCAATTTACTTGAACTACTCATCTGCTAGTGCCTCCACATAATTACTCACATGATCTTGCCAATTAACAAAGACTATAGAACTTGGGATAAACTATTAAAACTATCAATTTGTTAATCTCTTGCCACAGTGAAAATTAGCCATTTACACTTAACTAGCTTTTAAGACCTCACCACATTCTGACTTCTAACTATGCCAATTATTTACTTTGTGACCACTCAGTTTCCTCTGTAAGGAATCTGGTCTGTGATTTTGTTTAGGATATACCTAAGTGCAAAGATTCGTGGAAATCTTTTATGGATGTAGAACTGTAATTGGTATTTGATAGCTGGATCTTCCATGTCTGTCAGAGGGCTTCCTCCCCCCCCCCCCCCCCCCTGGAAATCATAGATGAAAGCTTGTGACATGGAAATTAAATATAAAATTACTGGCCATTTTAGAACTGTGGACAGATCCACAGGAAGCTGAGTGGAAAGAAAGAAAAAAAAAACATAGGAAGAATAAGCATAGGACAGCAGCAAGTCTAAAACTGCTCAAACAAATTTTCCAGACTAGGCAGAAGTGAGATGAAATGTTCAGCTGTTTCATCTAGTACATACAGCAGAAACACTACAATGCAATTTGAGACAGCAGAACCTGAATCCATGACATTCTATTTCTTAATGCAGTCACTTGTTCAAACAAGGGACTAGAAACACCTCCCCACCTTTTGTCTCAAGCCAGTACTGGTCACTACCAGTAATCTGAAAATTCTTGAGAATGAAACATGACAGGAAGTAACTCGTATCATAAAATCCTGATCACCCTGAAAGGAAGGATACTTCCCATGAAACATGCTAACACACATGGAAAAGAAGTCTTCTGGTGTCCAAATGAAGTATCCTCCATCAACAACAGGACAACCAAAGTTAAAAACAAAAATCCCAGTGTAACAGGAATTCAGTTTTCTCAACTCCAAGGTAGGCAGCTATTATCCTTTCCGGTTTGGTACCAATAAACGCTGTAAAAAGCCCTTGATTCTGAAGCATCAAGGAATCAAATCTTTAGCTGGTAGAGCCATAAGACAATCTATTGCCTACCAATGCAGAGCAACATAAAAAGAATCCATGAAAATAATCAGCACAGGGGAAAGGCAAAACCATACCAAATTGCTTGCAGCTATACCAAATAGAATACAAATGTCCAGCCTGACACCAAGTTCGTGGCAGTGAGTGAGCCTGCCCCTGCAGATAGAGAAGGAACAAGAAACAGGACAAAGAAACCAAGACCTACAGCTCCTTGACAAAACTTCCAAGGTACTGGTGGGAAGAGGAGGGATGCAGAAGATGCAAGAGCAACAGGAAAATGGAAATGGTACCTTTGCCACATCTGTGTCCTGTTCCAGCTCTTGTGATTAACTCTAGAACTGAAGGTGAGGTTACGTCCATAGCTTTTCAGAACAGAAATTAGAACTATTGCCTTCCTTTGGGAAGTGTTCTGGTTTCAGCTGGGACAGAACTAATTTTTTCTTCATAGTAGCTAGAATAGTGCTGTGTTTTGGATTCAGTAGGGGATTTGGTATGAGAAGAATGTTGATAATATACTGATGGTTTTAGCTGTTCCTAAGAAATTGAGGACTTTTCAACTCCCCATGTCCTGCCTGTGTGCAGTTGTACAAGAAGCTGGGAGGGGGCACAGCCAGAGCACCAGACCCAAACTGGCAAATGGAATATTCCGTATCATACAATGTCATGCTCAGTACAGAGATGCAATATTATGTTTCCAACACTTGGCATTAAGACAGACAGAAGAGAGTGGGAAGCCTAATACGAAATCATTGTTTATGCATTTCTAAAGCTGGTATATTTTTAACATGGCAATTTCAATTGCCGTACACAAGCCAGAAAACGACCAATACGAAGGAGAGAACCAATTATTTCAGTTGGTACCCTCTAGTTTCTATCATCATTCCTCTTCCTTGCAATCCTCCTCTCACTCATGATTTTATAGAAAACATTCCACTGCAGAACTGACATCAAAACCACAGAAAAGTTCTATTACTCTCCACTAACACGGAAGCTTTCAAACCCCTGCCTAGCCTTGCTGCCCTTCTCTGTACCTTTAGTAATTTTACTGTATGATTAATACTGGATAATCAGAAGTACCTGCAATAGTCAAGACTTCAGTACATGATTCAAGTAACAAAAACCCTCTGCATGCAATTCAACATTCAAAATGGCAAAAAATATAAAATCGAACTTGAGTGCATTATATCAAGTGCACAATAAGACAGTAGGGTGGCACATTTTCAAGAGTAGCTGTACGCATATTTATGCTTTCAGTGGTAGAGGTACCACTTACACTTGACCTATGTCTAACACTCTCTACATTGTTCATGTTCCAGGAAATAGTCTACATTATCAAGCAGGATCATTATGAGCTATGGTACTGAGAAATGGAAGGCATGGGAGGAGAATGGGGTTTTTTTCCCCTGAAGGAGTTTTCAATTACATATAGCAGTTTCTCATTTCATTCCCTGAACTTAATACTCTTTCCAATTTTAAAGTGTTTTTACGTGTAAACACACACATCTATACACACACAGACGCCCTACCTTTTTTCACAACCTCTCTAGTAATTATTATACAGCAAAGAAAATCTATTGAGCATCTAGTTATCCCATAAACTCTTCCTAAAAAGATCCAGAATCCTATTCATTCTGCTCCATAACAACTTCAATGTTCCAGAACACCAACGTAAGATTATACCAGTGTCCATACCGTTTCTTTGTGCAGTCTTGAAAAGAAGTTTTTGAGCTAATATCCTCTCCACATGCTGACCAGTTGCTATACAGACGGGAAGATTCTAGCGGAGGTGAAGTACTAGTAGTAATTGCTTCTAATAATGGGGAAAATAATTGAGTGTCCATTTTTTGTTTCTTGTTATTTACCTACATTGAAAAAAGAAGAAAACATTTTTAACATTAGAAGTTGATGTATATGAACAGTAAAGGCAACAAAGCAAACCCTTCCTTCTATATCTTGAGCTAAATAATTTTTCAGGAAAATGAAACGTAGCTATGACAAAAGGATACAGTCTAAAACTTGTTCCTTTCCCTGCCTTAAATAGTCCAAATCTGACAAATGTATAAAAATAAGTAAAAAATAAAAAATTACTTACTATACAATAATAGAAATTCTCTACAGATTTCACATTGTAGGTGTTTGCATGTCACGTTCACAAGCTCAGAATCTTCTAGCCTTAATGATTGGAAATGCACGTGTTACAGACATACACATCCCTTCTGAGAAAACAAAGGGAAGAGCAATTATCCCTGCTGTATCTCTGAAAACACAGAATATTCCAACAATCACCACACGGTAAGCAGGGAGGGACATTTGTAAACTTCACAGAGCAAATGTGGGTAAGAAAATTAATTTGTCTTTAAGTACTGGTCCAGAAAAGAATATTATAGGTAAATTATTTCTTCAAAGAATAAATAATAGGAAATCTAAGTAACATGGGGCAATTCCCTGCTCAGAATAGACCCAGTTACATCAGATTACTCAGAAACTTGCCCATCTGGATTTTGAGATCCCACCACTACCTCTCTGGGCAAATTCTTCTAACATCTAACTGCTGTCCCAGTTTGGGGAAAAAAAAAAGTATTGAAAATAGTCTGGACCACCTTTTCTACATAAGGCAGCTCTGCACACCCCTAAGACTTTCCCTTTTTCTTCTCCTGGCTGATCAGACACAGCTCACTTAGCCTCTCCTTGAACATCCTGTACTCTAGCCCACAATCATTTTGGAAGCCTCTGCAGACTCACCCCTGTACCCTTCTTGCACTGGTGAGCCCCAAACTGGACATAGTATCCAGTTGTGGTCTTACAAGGGCAGAAGAGAGAGACAGTAACAACCCTCACCCCACTGGCTATGCTCTTGCTGAGACAGCCTGGCATAGGGGTGGCCTTCTCTGCTGCAAGGCCACACTGCTGATTAATGTCCAACTTGACCACCAGGACTCTCTATCCTTCTTGATTACTTCTGAAAGTTTGGCTACGAGAGTAAAACCTCAAGCTTTCTTGAAAAAAGAAAAAAAAAAAAAAAAGCAAACCAATTTTATGATAGAGAACTAACAAGCTGACCTTTAACTCTCCTAAGTAAAGACGTCCAAGTCAAGATGAAGTACTTGTGGTTCTGAAGATAACATTTGGGAGATGCAGAAAAAAAACCAACCAACCCTCAAAAAGCCAAAACTACAACAACAAAAAATTCCAAACCTCCCCAAACCCCAGATTTACCAGTAGCTGCAAGAGGCTGTGGGATTGAATGCAGACTGCAGCTAACTGTAGCATCCAGCCCTGCCTGCACGTTACACCTTCCCGAGGAGGCCAGTAACTGACAAAACTGTCTTAAGTTTACTAATCGCTTCCTTAAAAATACTAATAATCTCCATCTTTGGCCCCCAAAAGCACATTAAGTTGCCACCATACTGCCTATTAATATATGGACAAGAATGCCTGGGAGAAGGGAGAGAAACTGCAGATTAAATGACTGCAAATTCCAATATATTTACACATAATTAAGACCAATTCTGAGGCCATGGGACAACCCAGAGGTTATCTGACGATCCCCAGCCTCACTTGGATGTGTTAGTCATCAAGGTTAACAAAAAGCAACAGGTTAACAGAAGGTGATGTTCTGCATGTCACTCCTCTAGCAAATGCCTCCTGCTTAGCAGGTTTGTTTGTGTTTCCAAGTCTCTCATTACAGACACAGAGAAGGGCTAAGTGCTTGGCAGTTAATGAACAGGAATTTGCAGAGCTGCTGCTGGCAGATGTCCTGTGTGTACAGCCCAGCAGCAGGAAAAATTCTTGAACATACCACAGAAAAAAGTATAGTTAGCTTACTCTAAGACCCTAACGTGCTGAACTCTGGATACCTGGCAGCTGAGGATAGAGCGCAAGAATTTTTCATTAGAGCTATAAAGATAATTTTAATTTCTGTCACACCATTCATTGTAAATACAGTTGGAAAAGGTACAAAAAGACAGCTAAAAAAAAAAAAAGCTTTCATTAGGATGGTCAAGCTAGCCACGGATTCAACACATGAAACCATCTCCTAAATCCTTACTGAATAATTGCAGAAAGACCTCAACCATGTTCTTATTAAATTCCTTTAAAAGGCTAAAAAACTGAACATGAAAAGAACTAATGGTGCTACAGTGATGACTGTATCCTCATACTTAAAAACACGTAAACTGATTTACTAAACTCCTATTTTCTTGCTTCTGAGATAAAAACTGCACTGTGACTAGGAATCATCTTGCCAACTCTGAGACTGGTGGTTACTACTGCAGAAATATCTGAGCAAGCTGATAGAAAAAAATGGAGGGTTTAAGGGAAATTTACACTACCTGAATACAGCCTTATGCATTCAGTCTGTCTAGAGTCACTTTAAAAGTGCTTTATAGGTAGAGCTTTTTAAAAGTTAAAGTAAATTAAACAAACAAAACTTCAATATTGATCATTTCAATATTTCATGACCCATTGTTTTAACAGAGAAAATGCTGAGTTAATTTAATTTTTCTCCCTCCACTCTTTTCTCAAAAGTAGAACAGTAAAATCTTGCTTACTACAAATCCTCAGCTGTAATTTGATTTAGTGAAAGCTCTCGCAGACTCAAATCTCCCTTCCTTGGTCTTGTCTGAAAAGGCACCTGGCCAAGTGTGCTCCTACCACGAGCAGGACAGAACAATCCTTTAGTGATTTTTCTTTTTAATTAAATAAAAAAGTTTACACTGAGGGCTTATCACTTGCTATAAACTTGTCTTACACATCCAAACAAATCCCTATTAAGTAACAGAATTAGAGGTCCTATAACCCTGTAGAGGCTAGACACACACTCTGTAATGTTCCATACAAACACACTGTCAATATCTGTATCATTAGAGACAAGAACAACTTTTCGACCCAGTGCTCATGTGAACTCTGACCCTGCAGAAAAGGTTGGTGGTGTCCAAATTATCTGCTATAAATTACTTCTGAACCACACATAAGTATCATTTAGGAAAGCAGTAGCTGACCAAGGCCAAAATTTTAGCTTAGCAGTATCAACAAGCACATGCCAATGCTGGGGCTCTGGTCTTGTTTAGTCTGCTAGGAAGCAACACACAGAGATAAATTATGCTCCTTGGCTAGGGTATAAAATACTTTTGCATAGATTAAAAATAGGATCTGCAACTAATGGATCTATCTTTCCTTTTCAGAGTCATTAATCACCACTAATGTGAGTTGTGCAGGACAATGTGACCGAAGACCAGTAAAGGATGTACTTCATGTACCCTAGATACATCCTTGTCACTCAGCACTTCCAAAACACTGGAGTCTGTCGTTCTACCTAGTGAAACAGGATTTCAAAATGAGAAACTCTTGTCTGTGCTTTACACACAAACTTTTAACAAGTTACAGTAAAAAAAGAAAAAAAAGGATAAAACAGTGTGTTGTTTCCTACTGCTTGCTTTAGTTTCAAAATTCTTCACTGAATTTCAGATAGTCGTAACATCTGTAACTGGCTTTGCAAAGAAAGACTGGCTGCAGAGGCACAGGCTTGTTTTGCTCAGAATTCCAACCTTAAAAATCAATGAACAAAATGCTGTCTCTAAAAAAAATTATAAAAATAATAATACATTACAAGTCCTACAGTCTTCAGTAGGGCTTTTAATTCATTCTTTCCACTCTGAAAACCATGGAAAAGCTACTGCTCTCACTAAATTACCTCTTAAAACAACAACAAAAGCTTATGACATCTAAAACCTAGATCCGTTAGCTCAATAGATTTTTTTTTCCTTTCAAAGCGTAACAAGACACAGCTTCTGTTCTCTCCTGTAAAATGAAATGTGCATGTACTAAACTCTTTCCCTGCATACAAAACTGAACACACTTTTTTCCCAGACATGTAACACTTACTAAGTCACATCTTATCTTCAAATGTACACAGAGGGCTTTTAACTTCTGCAGGTAGCTCATCACAGCTGAGGAGCAAGCAAACTGAAGCACCGACCAAAACCATCTACTATTTCCAAAAGCTTCACGCAGTTCTTTGTGTTTAGAAGCTTTCCCAAAGTTTCTTTTATTTGAGGAAAATAAGTGAGTAGAATTTCATCAGTATAATGTTAACATTTCAACTATAAATATGAAACAAAACAATATCAAAGCTATTAGACATTGATATTGTTATGATATCTGTGACATGAGACCTGTGCTCCACTCTACACCAACTCCCTTTTTGCTACCTGGGTCCTCTGTGCTTCTGCTTCGTCCAGGCTGTGTACTAAGGATTTTTTGTTTATGACGTAGTTTCACTGCTCCAGCAGTGAGGGAAAAGACCTTGAGGAAGTCTGTTACTCCCTCACCCCTCCTACTGCTATCCTGCTCCAATCCAGTGCCAAGCTAGCTCAGCTGCCAGGCATGTACAGGCAGAGAAAATCTACAGATCTCAGTAAAGGACTTGACAAACAGTAAATTGCACTGGAAACAGAGAATTCTGCATGGCAGAGAACTCACAACACCTGAGGTTGAAAGGGACCTTTGGAGTCAAGACCCCTACTCACTCAGAGCAGGTTGCTCAGGACCTTGTGCAGTCAGGTCCTGAGCACTGCCAAGGATGAATAAGACAGAAGACACACAGAAGTGCCCTGTACCTTCGGACATGGACACACACACACGTTTCTGCCTCACCACCACTGTTTGAGATGGGCAGTCAGGAGACAGATCTGTGACCTTCTGCAAATCCTCTGTCTGAAGATTTAACAGCACTGTGAATACAGTCAGACTCAAACGTTGTCATTACTGGAAATACTTTGTTTCTTGTGTTGTCCAGGTAAGTACTGGAAACAGTTCAAGACTGTAACTGATGTTCTGAGATGGTAACAGCTGCTGACAGAACAGCAGAAGTCCTTCAAACAGACTGGAAAGAGTTTTAGAGACTTCCACAGAGACCATTACATCATGCCAATTGTACAAAACCTTTGCAAGTGACATGATGTATATCTGGGGTACCTCGCTGAACTACAGCATTAGAGGACGCAGACACAAAATTCAACAAGGTGTTGCTCTCTTGTTCGGAGGTGAGAACTGCCTATGGCTTATATCAGACTAACAGTTCTCCAAAAGGATATATTATAAGCTAAAAAATAATGTAATAAGAGCTAAATATTTGCTTTATTATATGAGAAGAAATTAATTTTATTGACAAAGTCCCACCTTGCAGAAAGTTACTGATTTTCCAAAAAGCATTTGAGCTAAATCAGGAAAAAGCCTTTTTACAGTCAGTTATCCTGAAACTGGAGTATTCACTGCTACAAAGCACTGCTTGCAGATGCTTTTTATAAACATCTATTGTAACAGCAGTAAATGACAACACTGCATAGTATTACTACTTCTATACTGAGTGTATTCTTCTCTAGATTTCTTGTCAGGATAAATATTTCCTATTTATTTCTTATTTTTCTTGGCAAGAGAAAGCAAACATAAGAAAAAGCATTGTTTTAGTTTTTTTGACTTAAGACTTCTAGTAACACCTACTTACAGCCATCTTAACCTACAGCACAATGAAACTGGTTAACCCATTCAGGATGCACTGCTAGCAATGCTCTGAAACTCAGGAATAATTAAGAAAAAAAAAAAAACCAGAATTCTATAAATTGCCTTCTTGGATTGCCTGGGAAATGAGCCACCAAAAGTAAACAGGTGACAGGGATATGACAAAAACTAAAACCAGGGGAAAAAATAGGTCAGTTATTTAGCTATCTCTTAATATCAAGGACAAAATGATAAAAATGGCAGATTACTCGAGACTTCCTTCTAAATCCCAGTTTTATATCACCAAAAAGGCTTGTTGCAGCAGCAAAAGGAAGTGTTCCTTCTCAGTAGTCAAAGAATTAAGACACTTTTTTTCTGAGAAAAAGGAATCAAGTCTGTCAGACCACTCAGACAGTTAGGTCCAAAAATCATATAAAAAAAAGCACCACTTAAGGCAGGGAAGGAGAAGAAGTACATTTATAAGATGTCTGTTCAATATATGGGTTCTATAAGAACAGAGTAAATTTAAGTATATAAATAAAGTATAATACTATTAAGAACACTCATGAGCTACTGGGCACCTAAAAGCATTCATTTCATATAACCAAAGATTTCTGTCGTCTGTGGTAACATCCAGCAGTTGTTCTTCAGAAGACTTTGTGGTAAGTCTCACAAGAGACACACTCAAAGCCAGACTGACTGAGGAACCGCTGACTACCATGAAGTGAGAATTACTCTCCTGTACTGGCACAAATAGTGAAAGCTGTTCCGTATGTGATGTAGCATTCTCTTCAGATGTTGAGATTTTTTTGTTATGTGGTTATTCAATACATTTAGTTAGAAAACCCAACATATCGTACAAGTATTTATTTATATTTACCTAAGAAAATTCACTTTTTGAACTCACCTGCGATTTGTAATGATCAGGGGCGGCACTTTGTTTGACCATGTCCTTGTTAATGGTATACAAGTTCCCTCCTCTGAAGTATGCAGCATTGCTGTGCAAGCAGAAATTTAAATTCTTGAGGACAGACTTAGCCTATTTAGAATAAAAAAAAAAAAGCGATAATTACCAGGTCTGTCAAAGTTGTACTTATTATACATGAAATTCATTTCTAGCAACCCCTCAATGCTCCTCCCACCATCCTTCATGTGGCACGACCCACAGCTCCTCCAGTACCACCCTCGTCACACACATTCACAGAACAGTGATGAGATTACTTTATTGCTGCAAGATCCCACATGACAGGACAGCTCAGCAGATGAGTTGCTGACCACAGGTCGCATGGAGTCCCAGCACAGTTAAGCCAGCTGCAGGGTGCTGCACCTAGGATCAGGCAGGCAGAGGCATACTGCCTGGCAAGCCTCCTCTGCAGCTTTATCCTGTCACACAGGTCCACACCTACCAGGTCAGTACATAAACTCACCCCATGAGCCTGCTCAACAGCACACATCTGCCACAGAACCGAACGTGCATCCCCATCACATGACAGGACAAACAATCCACAAGTATCTGGGCTTGCACCCATTTAAGGGTTCCACTCCAGACTCATAGCTTCGGTCAGCGGCCAAGGCAAGGTTGGCTCCTGCCACACACTGCTATCCAAAACCAGGGGAGATAAAAGCATCTTCCCAAACGCTCAAAGTAGAATATGGTGACACCAGAATCCTTCCCTATGCTCTCTGCACATCCATTTAAACCTGCTACAGTATAACCTCCTATGCTTCCCTTATTGAAAAGCAGATTAGCAAGCTGCCGCTGCCTACTGACCCGCCTGCACTCTGCACGTGTGCCATTCCTACAACCGCAGGCATTTGCATTACATGACTCAGCAAAAGTCTGTGCATTACACAAATGTAAAGCTTCGTGTACATGAGGATGAAGCCTTAATTGGTGGAAGCAATGAACAGGGGAAGGGCTGCTTTTACAATTAAGATAAATTAAGATGAAGTATGCAGCAGCCGTATAATTATATAGATTGATAAATTCTTGAAACTTAACAAAGCACCTGCTTTTCTCCTGAAGCAGTAAAATGATGTCAAGACTACTCCCATACCCAACTGTGTCTGACCTACTCTGGACTTTTGAAAGGATTTACCTAATCTGATGTCCAATCTGAAGTCTGCTACAATGAGCTCTTCAACCCACAGTCAAATCCCTGCTCTTTTCCAAAGGCGCGCTGGAAGCACTTGAAGAGCTGGAAGAATTAACCCATTTCTGATAGTCACTTTTGTCAGGTTTCCTATAGCATTTCCATCACATGCAGCAAAGAAACATGCTCAGACTGACAAGAAAGTCTGCAGCCAGGAACGGGTTGCAGAACAGTTCAGTGAAACACCCATGTAGGTATCTCAAAGGTATCTGGGAAGCGCTGAGCTTGCTGCTCTTACGTCAGCTGGTCTTCAGTGCATATACAATAAACCAGCTGTATTGCAAGGGAAGAGCTGCAGCAATACAAGCCTTGACACTGCAGAAAGCTCTGTGGCCCACACCAATGGGATGATTAGGTTTCTTGTATTTAAGCTAAAGATGGTGAGCTCTGCAGTGAAATGACTCAGGTGTGCACAACTGCTCCTAGGTGCCAGTTTCATTACACAGTTTCCCTTCAGACTAGTAATATCCTTATACCACCCAGGATGATTTGTTCAGTATAAACTGCTAACCTTTATAAACCGCTAACCTTTACTGACCTTGTAACTATTTGTGATTAATTAGTTGTTCTGCCAAAGCAGACTTAACACAACCCATTAATGATTTGCTAATCACTACCTCTGTGACACAAGGTAACTAACTATTCCCAACTTTAAAAGTAGGTTTCACAAAGCATTAGTTGATGTCCGAAACTTGAAATAGGAACTACTTCAAATCATGGGAAACTTTCAAAGCATTGCAGGTGCTGCATTAGGCTTGACAACCTATGTAAGAGCCCAACCAGAGGTTAAAATTTACACAGCTGTTCAAAAAAGGGTAAGAGTGCTACTACCTCTTGTGCTCCAGCCAACATATCCTCTCTCTTACAGAAAAATGGATCTGCAATGGTAACACTCTGTGGCTGTCACTTAGCTTTTAGAGGTTGATATAAACACGTTTACTGCACTGCTAGTAAATAATTCATTCCTAGAAAAGCCTTCTGGGGTATCTTCAGGATACGAGGGTGCTACGTTAGAGCTTTAGTAGAAGCCACTGCTCTAGTCAAAGCAGCACTGCCAGCTTGCATTGCATTAAATCAACAAATTAAAAAAGAATTTAAAAAAGGTTCTGATTGAGTACTTTAATATCATGTCCTCAATTTATAAATAGTTTTATTTTCTTCTGACATGGTTCAAAAAGAACTCTAAGCAAAAAGATGAATGACCACAGCACACCACCAGAAGGAAACAAGTTGTTCCATCAGTAGGGAAAACTGATGACTGGCTTCCTACACGTTCACATCCTACTCCAAGCTCATTCTTAACAGCAGTCATTTCCCTACCGCATCCTCTCGGTCTCCCCAGTCCCTCCCTGCTCACCCTAACAGCAACCACCTCAGAGCCCACTGTAAGGTGACTGGATAAGCAGGCCACACCAAACACTTAAAATCACGCGGAAGCCTTTCTCCCTGCGAGGACACGAATATGGATCTCTCCTCTGCGAGGCCATCAACTTCCGTGGCATTTACAGAAACCCATTATCGCAGAGACATCCATCCACCTCTCCCCCAGTGTCACTGGATTTGATGGATGGTTCAAAGCTTACTGGGGGAATGACAGACTCCTCAACAATGTAGCCACTTGATAACCTGAAAAAAGCAATCTCCCTGGTCTGTCTTAAGGGTGTAATGCCCACTCATCTTCCCATCATCACTTTTTCAAATTAACACTAGAAACTTTAAATGAACCTTGCAAATAGTGAGCCTTCTCTGCACATGTATAGACACTACTAATTTTGGTGCCTTCCACTCCCACATATCCTGTTCCTTGGTGAAGACAGGGATAATGTTTTCTCCATATACATACTGACTACACACACAGACACTTCCCACAATCGTCTTGCAGTGATCAAACAGAAGCCATAGTAAATATGAAACTTAATTTTGAATTATTCCTCACCTATTAATGGGAATATTGCTAATCTGAATGCCTGCTTTTCAGGGTAATACAAATAGTATCTTCAAGTGGGTTTATATTGCACCTGCAGACAGATCCAGCATGCACGTGTACACACACTGATGCCATCATGGAAGAGTATTTAAGTCAGTTTTCTAATTCCACATGCTACAGTACATCTAATCCTCCAGAAAAAAAAAAAAAAAAAGGAAACAATTTGAAAAGTTATCGTAGTATTGCAGGGAGATCATAAGGTAAGCCCTCAGGTAGTGTAGGTGCAAGTTTTTAGGCTTTCAAGTTCCATAATGAAGTTACACGTGAAAACTGCTGTGAAGTCTGAAGGCCCCCACTTCTTTAACACAGCTGTTTTGAACTTCTGAACTTCTCTATTTAGGCCTAACCACTTTTCAAAGCTACATGGCAGAAAGTTTGTTAGGTAAGAGATTCCAGTCTGCTCAGTTCTACCTTTATAAAGCATTATCCTTGAAACGGTATACCAGTATGAGGTACTTCTTCCTGAGCCAAAAAATCCCAAACACATAGAACATTTCTGCAACTTTAATATTAAAACTTACAATGTCAATGATAAGAAATTAAGCATAGTAAACACATGGGAAACCACATGACATACATTTATCCACCAGGAACTGTGATTACATATGTGCAAGTACCATAATTTTAGCCTTCCTAAAGTCAGTAATTTCAGAAATTCAGATGTGTAACCTCCCTACTTAGTGCAATTCTTGGTTTATTAATTTGAAAAAAATAAGGAAAAATTTGCCAGCAGGTAGATTAGAAACAAAGCCCTGGTCTGCAATTCATTTAAACTGTTAAAACAAGTTACCGATACTGTTTTTAATGACAGATTTTATAGATCTTACACACTCTAACCATGGTCCAAACCCCCAAGTACTTCGAACACTGGAGTCCTACTATTTGCACGTACTTTTGCACGTACTTTTGCACGCAATAAATGACTGAAGCCTCCTGCCCTTACTCTGGAGTTTCAGAGGATGGGTTTTTTTGTTTATAAAAGTCACAAGACCCTAACCCCAATTAAAAAAGTAAAAACGCCCTTCATGAAACATTGACATGAAATTGCCAGTTGTAAAAGCAGAGAAGACACCTCAGCTGCAACAGGACATTACCCAAAAGTTCAAAATTTGGGACTGCTGAGGGAAAGTCTTATGAAGGCAGCAAAAGACAGCTACTTTGACGCACTGACCACTGAACAGCCTCTGACATTCAAAATACCTGGTCAGCAAATATACACTGAAGTATCTGAATAATATATTCATGTTCAATGCAGGCTCCATGGAAATAAAAGGGAACTTAATACCATCTACCTCTATATATCCACCTTCACTTATAACTATTAGTACATGTCACGCTTCAGTGTCTCCTGGTAGACAGGGAAACACAAGGGACTATTAAACAAGTAGGTATGGAGTTTTTAAACTGAACTCCACTCACTTTAGAGTCAACTAATCCAAAGGTAGTTTAAGTACACAATTTGTAGATTATGTCCTTCCAAATACATGTTGCTGTAAAACAGGATTATTGGTATTAATATACTCTCAGTAAACCTTTTCATTCAGGAACATAAAATGCAAACTGAATTACAAAATATCTTTCCAGATTCATTTTGACAGATGGACTATCTAGTACAACTTATACTCTGCTAAACCAAAATGTTTTTCCAAATATACTTTTAAACAAACAAAAATGCTGAAATTGTCAATTACTGAATGTGTCAAAACAAACTCTTTGAAAATACAAACCAGTATATGTGGCCTAATAAACAGAATTTTTAAAGTCAGCTGCACAAGGGTCTGTATACACTATATATCATTATATGCAGATCTGTATATTAATTTTGTTGGGGCTACCAAGATTAGACATAGGACTACTTTCCCTACTTGATCACCTCCTCACTTTGTGAAATTCAAGTACTAAGTAGGTATCTTCAAAATTGCAGACTTCAGCAAATACCATCACAATGCAACTTAACAGCTCTAAACTATTTCTAAAGAGAAATGAAAGGGGATTTATTACCTGCTTGAGAAGTTACTACATTTCTCAGTGAAAGGATGACAGCAAGTATTCCCAAGTTTCCCATGCACTTCATAAGTCTCTCCTCATTGTCCCTATTAGAAGAGTTTGGTGGTCAACACAAAGAGACATTCATGTTTGGAGAATTATGGTGCTCACAATACATGATCACTTGAAAGGCTGGGCACTATCAGGCAAATAAATCATTACACTTACTTTAAACTACAGCAACCTAAGCAAATATTACACTGCAGAAATCGCTTTGCTGGATTGTTTTCCAGCTTTCTAAAATATCAGTATTACCCCAAATGCCTAGCACCTCTCCTGGAGCGCAAAACCCACGCAAACCTCCTCCTGATGCGAGAATCAACTTCCACCAAGACAAACGTGCAGGGATGTTACCACCAGCCATTCCCTGCCTGCATTCCTCCCACCGACACAGGCGACTGGGGCAGCAAAGGCAGCCCAAGCACTCGAACATGCCAGTTGTACACACCAGAGCACTGCAGCAGCAGCAGCTGATGCCCGGGGCTTCCAGGTCCGGTGGCGTAGCCCACACAGTGCTGAACCAGCGCTGCCACCGCACCTTATTTACCTCGTCGAACTTCGCTGCCATGGGACACACATGCTACACACCTCAAGTTACTACACGCACACCGAAACTGTTGCCGGGCTATGGGTAGCGTCTCTCCTACACCCCTTGAAGCTGCAGGACAAAAACAGCAGAAAGAAGCAAGCTGATTTCAGGCTGTGGGCAAGGAAGCAGCCCCTCGAGACAAACTAGCAGCACTGGCATTAAGCGATTACTCCACATAGCTATTGCTAGACAGAAGAGTCTCTAAACTGCACCAACACCACGAGAAACAGTACAAATTGCTTGCCCTTAAATGTCACCTCGTTTTCTTCAGACACACACCCTTTCAAATACCTCTGCAGCAACTGAAATCCTCCCCTAGTAAGAAAAGATTTCGCAATGCCAAAGGCCCTGCTACAGAAGTGAAAGAAACACCAAGCTTACATTTTCGGTCGTCTTGCTTTACAACCAGTCTCAGCCATGTAATGTCTGATGTCACTGGAGTACCAGTATGTGGAAGTACTATGGGAATTGTAGTCTTTCCTCTACTGTGCAATAGCTACAAGGTACGGGATCTAGGACTGCAACTGCAAGCCTTAGGAACTGTCTCCACACAGAGGCTTACTGCCTGCAAAATCCAGCTGAACTGCTTTACTTAGCCAGGAAACGCTTCTCAGATGGAAAGAAGAAAAGCATGTAGGAGGTTTTGAAATTCACCTTTGCTTCCCTCCCACATAAGAAGTCATCTCCAAGCAACTAGGTGATCCCCTAGTTCCAAAACCATTTAGGTGGCAATCTGAAAGCAAGACCCAGCATGGAAATTTTAATTGCTACAATATACATACAACATAACGTCATATTTAACAAGAGTTATATTAGTACAAGAGTTCTCATGACGAGTTCATCGTCTCTTGTACTTCTGGGATTTTGGTATCTCCACGTAAAAAAAAACAACCCTCACTGGAATTAATGTTTTTTTGGTCAGTGGTGATGGTGCACCTGCCACTTTTGTACCTCTCTCCCCACTGAAAGCTATCATTTGGATCGTCCCAGCTAAGTAGCTATGAAAGACCTGCACAGAGCGAACAAATCAAGCTCTGTGTTTTCCGTAACAAAAATTAAAAGTAAAGGTTATTTTATTTAAAGGCTTTATTTCATGCTGAAGTGCTGTACCTGACTTACCTTCTCCCCACCTTTAGTCAAATACCTCAGTTACATTTTTATTACCTTTTACACATTTTTCCCCAATAAAGTCATAATTTTCCCACAACACCTTGCCTTAACTTAGACAGGGCCTTGATCCTTCCCTCACATCACCATATTTTTAATGCTAGAAAAAGAACGAAGAAATATAATTTAAGCAAATTAAGAAATCTGGAGACAATGGAACAGAGCCATTTTCATCTTTTTGAAAAAAACAAGAAAAAAGCCAGGTATAATACAATATAGTTCAGTTGCTGGGAAGTGTAATTCATCAACTATTATTACAAAGCCTCGAGACTGGAAAAAAAGAGAAAGCACAGTGCTAAAAATTTCTGACTAAATCTTTTAAAAAACCCCTCAAGCTGTCCTTCAACATAAACTTAAGACATCCGAGTTAAACCTAAAGATACATTGTTCACACTCTACAATAAAATTGTCACAAAATTCTTCTTACAGAATGAGAGAAAACTCCTGTGACAGCTCAGTGTTACAGCAGAAATCAGAAAACCATTTAGTCTTAAATTCTTCAACGATTTAATTCAGGCAAACTACAAAGGAAAGATCTTAAAAGGGAGGGGGAAAATACCTAATAAAACTTTCGCCAAAGTTTTCTTCTGTTCCCAAGGCATTTTCACTAAGTATGTAAATAGTGCCTTGTTCTGCAAAATCCTTCCCTCACCACTATCCCATTAAGTGCCGAAATACACCGCAGAGTGCAACGCAACACTAACCTTGCCCAAATACTAAGTGTATTCCATACAGCTTTTCCGACACAGCAGTTAATAGGAAATGAGGCCGCCCCTCCCTAAAAAAGCTCGGCCCTTGTTTACATTACTGCTATTCTCCCTCCAGCTTCTCTCCACAAATCTGTAACGGCATTCAGAGACGGTGACTGTTCTACAGCGTCTCCAACTGTCTCATGTCAGCACAATTTGCAATGACAATATATACAAACATGACACAGAAAGTTTTCATACCATTTCCACATTTAGGATTTTGGAATAACATATTTGCACCAGTGCTTCCAATAGGACACACTGAATTAAAGTGTTTTTCAAGGAAAAAAAAAAAGTCAAAAAACTGAAGCTATGCTCTGACCCAGGATTAAAGAAAACAGAGAAATCCCAAATGTTTCCAGGGTTATGCCAACACAGTACTAAAGTACATGCCCTAGTTTTAGTGACATGAGTAGACCCCAACAGTTTCAAATGAAGTCTGACAGCAGAATTTCACACTAGCTTGGCCTGGGCAAGACAGAGGAAAAGAGAGGAAACCCAGACATGAAATCCACAAAAACAGTTTAGGCATAAATTACTTCCACTAGCTTGAGAACAGCGTGTTACTGAAAAAAACAAGACAGCCTTTTCTGAAGGGCTCACAGTCTTTGTAAAAGCAAAATACTGCAGAGGCAAATAGCTGAGAGAACAGTTTGAAGTCAAAACCTAGCGTATCTCTTTACTACCACCCAGTAGAAACTGCGCTCCCAACAATATGCTTATGAAGCAGCTAGAAGTAGTAGTAGCTACACCCTCCTCACAAAGTAACGTGCAAAACCGGAACGTGGCTTCAGCAGCAACTGCTGTGAACAAGGGGACAAAACGTGACGAATTCCTCCCCCGCCCTGAAAACGCTGGGGAAAACAAGCCTGCTAAGAAAAGCACAGGTGCTGTGAAGAACAAATCATACTGGCGAGTCTCAGCTGTGCAGGATTCTGATAACCTCCTGAAGATTTCAAGTGTTTCAGCAACGTGTGAACAGTGGGCAACAGACTCAAAAGTATTAATAAAGCTACAAATATCTGTGAGGAGTTTTTAAACTTGCTAACTTCGAGTGACTCAGCGTGAGGATGCCCACAGACAACCTCCTGGTGTCAACCTGGCCTCAGCAGTGTGAATTCATATGAGTAATGGTACATTTAAAATAGCAGAATACAGTGATTTTAATAACATCTTTTTGTACAGTAGACATGAGTATTAGCAGTGATTCTTCCGGACCACTCACCACGCCAACACAACTTTTTTTTTTTTGGCGTTTTAGTATGACAGGAAATGTAAAAACTGTAACAACAAGAAAAAAGAAAAGAAAGGGTGGGTGGGTGAAGAAAACAACTCCTTTTTCCTGAAACCAAACATTTCAACGTATTCCCCTCTGCAGCCTCAGAAAGCGATTCCTGTCTTACCCTACCGGGATTTCGGGTTATAACACTTGCTTACTTCACCGCTCTCTTCTGCTATCTCTCCGTGCAGAAACATCACTCATTGTTGATGTGTCAACACGGCTCTGCCGAGCGCGCCCAGACCTCTGACAGGGTGCATATGACAGGCAGCTTCATCCTTTATTGACATGGCTCCGCTCTACCAGCAACCATAGGGCTTCCCCTCTCTCGGCGGGAGCCCGCCGGCCCCGCTGCAGCTCCGCCGCTCCTCACCGGGCGGAGGCCGGTTCCTCGCCTCACAGGAGCGACGCGCCTCACCGCCTCCCCCCCTCCCCACCGCCGCTCACCCCCTCAGCTCCCCGGTCGCCCATCGCCGGCCGCGGGGCGGCAGCGCTGACGCCTCACCTCTGCCCGGGCAGCCCCGTCAGGCCGGAGGGCCGGC